GTGTACGCGTTAGTTTGTTAAATTATTGTTAAAACATTAACGATATAACATTTAATATTTGGATAGAATTTTATTCGAACTATTATTATTCAAATTTCTATTAAAAATAAAGTGTATTATATGTTAGTTTATTAAATTATTATTGTTAAATCATTAACGATATGACATTTAATAATTGGATAGTATTTTGTTCGAACTATTGTTATTCAAATTTCTATTATAAATAAAATGGTGTACGCGTTAGTTTGTTAAATTATTATTGTTAAACCATTAACAATATGACATTTAATAATTGAATAGAATTTTACTTGAACTATTATTATTCAAATTTCTATTAAAAATAAAGTGTATTGTACGTTAGTTTATTAAATTATTATTGTTAAATCATTAACGATATGACATTTAATAATTAGATAGTATTTTGTTCGAACTATTGTTATTCAAATTTCTATTAAAAATAAAGTGTGTTCTACGTTAATTTATGAAATGAATTATTGTTTTATGTATGTATAGGAAATTATTGTATTTAATTATTTTGTTGGTTTTTATTATAATAGGTATGAATCTTCAAATTTGCTTCATGAATGAGACACCGTCGGATACAGAATCGTCATGCTCAGAAAGCGACGCCTTGCCTGGGTCCACACCAATATCTCGTGGATCGAAACAACAAACAAAACAACAAGCACCCTCAAGACCACAAGTATTAAGCCTACCACCATTGAGACTAGACTCCGGGACAAATTCAGCCCCTGTGGATGAGGCTGATTTCTTTGCACGCCAAGCAAAACTTCAAACCGAAGCACGAATGGCACTTGCACAAGCCAAAGAAATGGCACACATGCAAATGGAAGTTGAAAGGCAAAGGCTCAAACAAAGTCCCATCACGGAAATGGTCCGATCCAGTTTGGAAAAAGTAAGATAATCTCAAATATTTTATCTTAATTAATAATATTCATTTTCGTTATAAACCTTGAAAAAAATATTTTCGTTCAATTATTTGTTCTTATTACTGTATATCGTAATCGTACTATCAACAAAATTGCATGCAATATCTAATTGGAGTATACATCGTATATAAATACTAAAAAAAATATTTTTAATTACCTAAATTTCCAATATATTAAAAAATTTATTATAATATTTATTAATATTTCATTTAAATTAAATAACGTATTAATTGTGTCATTTTTTATTACTGTATATCGTAATAGTACTATCAACAAAATTGCATGCA